GGGGGGGACCAAAAAAAAATCACAAAAGAATTTGTGCTATGTAGTTGCGCATTCCGACCAAAGATCCGCGCCACACGGACGAACCAATTTAACTCGCACATCTGATGGTGGTGCTCAGACCAAAGTCTCGTGTACGCGCGGCCGGCGTCGCGTTGAAAGTACTTGACTGGAGTTCCATCTAGTTGGCTTTACAGTGGCCGTAACATTTCGCCTGTCAAGTCGTCCCATGTAGAGAGGCAAGTTCAGCTTTACTAAGCGAAATGTTTTTCTAAATTCGTGGTTCACCTCATATTATATTAATATTTGGTCGTTTTTAAGCACAAGGGGGCTATCCCGAAAAAAGCTGTTCTGAGGAAATCGAAGGTAAATTTTTTGGACCCTTGTTCAGTTTCTTTAAAAGACAAGGAGAGTTTTCTCTATAACTAAACAAATACACACACCAATGAAACCAAACTTCTCCTATAGGTAGGGCAATGCCCACTTTTGGTGTAGGTAAGATTTCTGGAAACCCCTGAAATCTGGGTCAACCCGTTTGTCCTTAAAAGCGACTATTTGTACTCCTGGTCAAATTTTGAAAGAATTTGACCCTACTGAAGGGAACACGCACCAAATGTAAAAGAACTTGACCGTACTTTGTAAATTTCTGAAAAATTACAAAAATGGACCAGTCATCACGTGACTTCCAATTTGCCTCGCCTGAAAAACCGCACTCCAACAAAAACAAACACGTGGTGTGACATGATATATGAATGCAAGGTCCACCGTCAGCCAACGTCCGTTAAACGAACAGACGCACAACGCGGATCTTTGGTCAGAAAGTCCGTTAAACGGACAGACGCACAAAGCAGATTTTTGGTCAGAAAGCGCTTTAAAATTACAGAGGGGTACACCGTGCTGATTAAGATGACAGGGGGCTCAGCGTGCTCGTTAAGTAAGCTAAGCCAGGCAAGCAGCTACGTAGTTCCACAAGGTGTCACAGCAAGCAAAAACACACGTACAGAATATGGTGGTGGTGGTGAGGGGTGAGGAGGTGAACGCAGGGGTAGAAAGGTGAGATTGTGTGAGATGAGGGGTGGAGGGGGGAGGAGAGGGGGGTTGTGTGCAAGGAGGGTGGTATGAGTGGTATGAGAGGTATGAGGGAGGGGGTGAGGGAGGAGGGTGGTGGGTGTGGCAAGTGAGATGAGGCGGAGGGTGGTGGTGGTGGTGGTGGTGGTGTGGTCAAGTGGTCAATAGGTTGAGGGTGTTGGTGGTGATGGTGAGAGAGATGAGGGGTGTGGTAGTAGTGGTGGTGGTGATGATGGTGGTGGTGGTGGTGGTGATGATGGTGGTGGTGGTAGTGGTGGTGTGAGTGAGTGAGAAGTGGGGATGGTGGTATGAGCGAGTGAGTGAGTGAGAAGAGGGGTGTGGTGGTGGTGGTGGTGGTGGTGTGAGTGAGTGAATGAATGACAAGAGGTGTGGGTGGTGGTGGTGGGGACAGGAAGCATACCTGAGCATACATGGATTGGAACACCGGGGCACTGGCGTTCATTTGGAATTTCTTCTCCTGCTGTTGTTGTTGCTGCTCTATCTGTGACTGCCCCTGTGGTGGGATCACAGAGGGCATTGGATGTAGGAACAGCCGCCACACACTCTCTCTCTACCTCTACCTCTTATACATTCATCTCTTCTCCTCCCCTCCCTCTCTCTCTCACTTCATAGTGCTTTTTAGGATCACAGAGGGTATTGGATGTAGGAACAGCCGCCACACACTCTCTCTCTACCTCTCTTCTCCTCCCCTCCCTCCCTCCCTCTCTCACTTCATAGTACCTTTTAGGATCACAGTGGGCAGTGGATGTAGGAACAGCCGCCACATACTCTCTCTCTACCTCTCTTCTCCTCCCCTCCCTCTCTCACTTCATAGTACTTTTTAGGATCACAGAGGGCATAGGATGTAGGAACAGCCGCCACACACTCTCTCTCTTCCTCTACATCTCTTTTCCTCCCCTCCCCTCCCTCTCTCTCTCTCTCTCACTTCATAGTACTTTTTAGGATCACAGAGGGCATAGGATGTAGGAACAGCCGCCATACACTCTCTCTGCCTCTACCTCTTACATAATCACCTCTTCTCCTCCCTTCCCTCTCTCTCTCTTACTTCTCCCCTTTTCTTACTTCATAGCACTCTTTATGATCACACTCTCCCTCCCTCTACCTCTTACAAATCCATCTCTTCTCCTCCCCTCCCCCCTCTCTCTTACTTCTCCTCCCATCCCCCCTCTCTCTTACTTCTTCTCTCCCTCTTTCTTTCTTCTTCTTTTTCATTGCATTTTTTCTGGTGGTGTGAAGTGCATACCTTATGCTATGATACAGATCTACTACTCTCACTCCCTCTTTCTTTCTTACTACTTCTCTCCCTTTGTTCACAGCACTCTGTAGGGTCACAAAGTGAGGAGCGTGCCTGGTCATTGATAGTCCTCTCATTCTATGATGAAGGTCTGCTTAAGTGCCAGTGCTATTCTAAACAATGTACGTATATATATGCACGTTCGTTCAAATTGTATACTGCAGGCTTGCCAACTTTTTCAAAACCCAATCTGGGACACCCAATGCTATAACATATGTGTCATGACGCGGTGGAGCGAGACACTCGTCAATTTTGGGGCATATGGGGTTATCGGTATCATCTTAAAGTCTGTTCATTTGCCTTTCTTCTGGTGAAACAAATATCCATCTATCTTGAATAGAAGTAGAAGATATTTGCCATTGAAGGAAGTCAGAGTTGCCTGGTTTCAAAGGTCAAATTTGTGAGAAAATGGCTGCCAAAGTTTGGTAACTTCCATAGCCCGAGTCCTAGGAAACTGAAAATTTACATTTTTTCATCAATATTTTTCTGTAAAATCCACACAAAAATGTGTTTTTAAATGGATACAAAAGGTGTTGAGCCAAAAAAATCGCCCAGTGGCCCCCCAAAAAAGCCAATTTTCTGATTTAATTTGTTTTTGACAAGCGCCTGAGCCCAGCACACTGTCTCACGTATGTCCGAAGTACCAACCAACAAAATTACATCGAGTGAGACCGGCGTGGGTGGGTGAGCTGTTACACGTCAAGTATGTGACAAGTCAGACAAGACTCTCAACTACCACACACTGCTCATTCTAGGACAGTTCTGGCGCTGGTGGGTGAGCTGTTACATGTCAAGTACGTGACAAGTCAGACAAGACTGTCAACTACCACAGTCTCCTGGTTCTAGGACAATCTCAATAGAGAACAGCACCTAACCCAGGCTTGCCAACTTTTGCCAAAAAAAATCAATCCGAGAACTTGCCAACTTTTGCCAAAAAATCAATCCCAAGACACCAGAGTGGCCCTATCAGATTACACAATACAATACTAGCATTTGCATAGCTCAAATCCCTGCTCAACAGCAAGCTCTACGCGCTTCACAATCTATATTGTAACAACACATCTATAATACAACAAACACAATCACCGGAGCGGGTACTGGTATGGTGTATATAGTGACGAGTGTTTATGGAATTCAAATAACAATTCCTGACTGCCAAATCCAGGACAGTCCCAGGGAAAATCAGGACAGTTGGTCAAGCCTGCC